AAACAGACACTTTCTTACAAGTTATCAGTTAAAAGCTTCAACTGCCAAAATTAATTCAAGACAAAAAAATCCCATCGTAATTGATTACATGCATTTATTATAAGTAAAATACTTTCATTCCACAAAATATTACCACCTTGATTTTTCATTACATGATGAAAATAAGGAAATTAAAACATATTTATTAATTGAGACGAATAGTAATTAATGACTAGCACATACTGTGAACATTATTAAATTACCGTATGAACATTTTCAAATCTTAATTAATTAAAGCCTTTTCTTTGACAAATGTAGGTTGTTATTGTTTTATCTGAAAGTGGAAGTGTTATCCCTTCAACTAAACGTATTATATTATAATTTTCTATTGTCAAAATATGAAATAAAGTATAATTATCTTAATTGTTTCCTCAATAGTTTAATTTATTATAGCTATCGGTATGATCGGTATAATCTAGAGCAGATCTCGAGAGACTGACGGTTAGGTCAGTAATTCAAATGAACAAAGTAATAAAAAATTAGCAGGCGAAGTATGCAGTCTGTAACATAAGAGCGTGGACACAATATTTCTGAAAAAAACCTTTTTTTACGAAAAACTGTATGTAAACCAAAAGTATATGTAAGAAACTAATACGCTCTTACTTAGTAGTGGGTTCAGTCTCCCCCATTTGCGATTATAGCTTCGCAACGTCTCGGCATGCTTTCGACTAATTTTTCTGCATACGAAACAGGCAGCGACCTCCATATTTTTCTAATTCGGTCCACTAATGCTTTCAAAGTTACACTGCGGCTACCTTGAAGCTTCATAATAGCCCAAACATTTTCGATTGGGTTTGCATCAGGGGACTGAGAAGGCCAAGGTAGCACCATGATGTTGTTTTTTCCCTTCCATTCAGTACACACCCGGCTCCGATGTTTTGGATCGTTGTCTTCTTGCAGAAGCCATCTATCACCAGATTGTTTAAACCACCGTTTTGTTGATGGCAATAGTCCTCTCTGGTATAATTTTGTCATTCTTTGTGCGTTTAAATTGCCTGTAAAAACACACAATGTCCCGAAACCACGTGCATTGAAACATCCCCACACGTGCACCTTTAATGGGTGTTTTACAGTTCTTTGGATTACGGGATTACCACGAACTGACCAGGCATGCTTGATAGGAGACCAAGCCCAAAAGGAACATTCATGCGATTTATGCAGATATTTAGCTGCACTTCGAACGCTCATTTTTGGTCCTTTCGGATGCGAACAGAGAAAGACCGCTTCAAACCGTTTTGCATACGCTGCACTCATATTACAAACGTCTCTATTTCTCAGCGATACGAACGAAACTAAAAGATTTGTGACAATTGCGTATTAGGGAAGACAATGAATGTTCACATTATAACGGTCGTCATTTTGTTTTGTATAAACATTCGAAGATATTGCGTCCACGCTCTTATGTTACAAACTGTACAAGTTGACGTCTCGAACTGGGCCGGTTTAATAAGAAATTTACGTGCTTCTTAAAATAACGAGGTTCAGAGATATGGCCGCTATATAGGGAGCTCCGCTCCTCACTAATTATTGATATAATCTAGAGTAGACCCTGAGAATCTGAAGGTCTAATACGTAGTGCACTCACAAGTGAACCTACCTAAGTGTCACTCTCCGATTTTTCTGAAATTTGGATATATTATAGTATATGGAAAATTAAGGGCACATATTTTTTTATCTGCGGAAAAACATATTTAGGGTATGAAACAATCCCCAAAATGTGAGGATAAAATGGAAAAATTGTGATTACTTTGAGATCAGAAGCAATTTTTATGATATTTGGTATGAAAGTACAATAAGTACAAATCGATAGAAGACAAAAATTGCCCCCGGTATGTTGGAAGGGAGTGAAAATTAGGGTGTGAAATACCCCTAAAGTCATCAAATTCTTGCTGCAAAAGATCAGTTTTAATCTGAGCGAAGTAATATTTATTAAAACTTTAAGAGGAAAGCTAATTAGGGAACACGTACTTTTTTTATATAAATATTTAGGGGGTATACACCTTGTACACCTATATTTTTTAACTGTTCGACTTTCAAAATATAATTTCTGACATTTATTGTTAGTTATGTCAGGTGAATTAAACGTGTTAAAAATATATATTATTTATAACAAAAAAATCTGATGATAGCATTAATTGTATGCGAAAAATTTCTACATAAACTTTGATCACATATTTTATTAATTTTTTGTATTAAATAACAATAAATGTCAGAAATTGTATTTTGAAAGTCGCGTATCGAATTATAGTCTATTTTACTCTTTCAGTACCGATGCCGAATATATCCGGCGTCCATCTGATGACCTGTGTGGACGAGCGCCGGATATATCCGACATCTATCTGATGACCTGTGTGGGCGAGTGCCGGATATAATTACTTATATTGATAGAATTTTATACATATAACTGTCTCTTAATATTAAAGTTACAAACAACACTTGAAAAAAAGCATTGTTTTATTAAGCATAGATCATATACATATAAGGTTAGGGAAGTCTTCACACAAAGGAGGACTGACCATGTGCTATGTGCGCGTTTTCGGCGGGATACTTCGTACAGCGGGAGTATCACGGCTGAAAGAGCGCTCGTACCGAAAGGGTTAAGTAGGTTTTCGAGTTTTCGTCCACCATATTGGATCCGCCACATTGAATTTTGATTTCAGATTTGTATTCAGCAATGTAAAAAACCAATGTATTAAAAAGATCGAATAGTTAAAAAACACAGTTTTACAAGATGTTTCATACGTAGTGCCAAACGAGCGCGGCATTTTAGGAGTTGTTTACTCCCGAAATATTTATATATAAAAAAAAAAGAAAAAGCAAAAAAATGTGTTCCCTAATTAGCTTGCCTCTTGAAGTTTTAATAGATTTTACTTCGCTCAGATCAAAACTGACTTTTTGCAGCAAGAATGTGGGAATGAGAGAATGACGCTGTCAGTGACCGATTGACCGAATGTCGGTAATTGATCACCGATAATAAATGTTAATCGTCGGTAATAATAATGTAAATTGTTATAAAGACAGTTCAAGACGTTATAAAGCGAGCGGGCTTGATGTGTGTTTTTTTTTAAAACAAAGGAGCGTTGTTTATTAGAAACCTTGTCGTAAAGAAGACGCATTAGAAAAATAGGCGGAAAAGTCGAAAAAGTCGTGAAAGCTTTTGTATTTATTGAAAGATTGTAAAAGTCGTTCAATTTTAAAAGTTCTGTGTTTTGCTAAATAGTGTTAAAGTTAAGTTTTGTTTTATTAATGTTTGTGTTAAAGTTGTTTTTTTCTTGTTAAATAATAAAAGGAGTTTACTTTTGCACAAAACCAAAACAAAACGGTGCAAAACCAATTTTGTCATTTTAATTCCTACAAGAATTTGGTCACTCTAGGGGTATTTCGGCCCCAAATTTGCACTCCCCTTCTGACATACCTAGGCCGATTTTTGTCTTCTATCGAAAGATACTTTCATACCAAAAATCATAAAAATTGTTTTAATCGTCTCAAAGATATCGCAATTTCTCAATTTTACCCTCACATTTCGGGAAGTTGTTTCATACCGTCAATACGTTTTTCCGCAGATAAAAAAAATACGTATCTCTTAATTTTCCATATACTATAACATATATCCAAATTTCAGAAAAATCGGAGAGTGACACTTAGGTAGGTTTAGTTGTGAGCATGTCAAAATCTAAAAGTACCACTGATAGCTTTCAGCGATGACGTCCCAAGTCTTCCCGAGGTAGCCTCCTAGGGGATGTTACTCGAACTGGATCAAGGATTGCTTTGCTAATGCAGTGTTCCTCGCATGTTCTTTTATACTCTGACAAGGAAAGGCACAGAAGTGTCCCGCTCCGATTTTGATGAAACTTCGAAGGTTTGTTAAGCAGGCAAATATAAGGGACAAATATTTTTTTTGTCGGCTGAGACGCGGGTTTAAGGGGTGAAACGACCCCTTAATGTTTCGACCCCTTTTGGCTAACTCGAAAACCATACGAGATACATTAAAACTTCCAATACGAAAGTTGTATGGTTTTTTGCGTACAATAATAGGATGTTAACGAATTTTGCAGAATACTATATATTATGTAATGACATAGCAATTATTTTATGCGCGTGGTGTCGAAAACCGTTTGAATCATTTCTTCGAGCAATACCACCATTGCCGTGATTATGTTCCCTAACTTATTCAAACTATTTGTTACGTAATAAAATTAACATATAGAATACCTGTGTACTTTAAAGATAAATGTTAATTATAACGCAAATGTAATTGTTTCTCACTTATGCTTATAAATAATGTTGACTGACAGTGCAATATCATCCGACTTGATCCGGTATAGTATAGTGTGGGGCGTCAGCGAGCGCGAGCGCGTAATGTTTATAATAAAAATCTGAGGATATGTAGGCGGCAATATCGTATATTATACATATATATCAGTGGATTTGTAATCCAATTAAGGTGATGTACGTGAATGAATAAAATCGTGTATGTGGCGAATTACTTTTATTTATACAGAAGGCACGATGCGTTTACTACGGAGATCGAGACTCGAATGTCTCACGAAAAATCTATTTTCGCCTGGGAGAGAAAACTCTCCTTTTTTTTTGGGAAGTCCCGAGCAGAAAGGGCCGAGGGCCTCTTAGACCCGTCGAACCAGCGCAAAACTATTTACAACTTAATGACTCTATTGACTCGACGGGTCAAAAGGTCTCTGACAAAATCCAGACCTCGCTTTCCACTCAGAACTTTCCCTGTCGCCACAGTACCCCCCTACCAGTGACTTGTTCACGAAAAGAAACAATTACAATGTTCATCATTTCGTAAAATGTTATTATTCTATCGGACAGAGGAGGGCCAACGAATTTGCAAAGTTAATAAACCTAACTAACCTATGCTACTTACAACTAATATATACAACTACAGTAACATTAACGCATAAAATTACAACTTAGTTCTATAAAAAATGCAAATTCGCCTAATTTAAACCAGCCTGAAAACGCACTGGAAAACGAACTACTCTACCTGAGCGTGTCGTGAAGCGGTTCGAATTATCATCGCGCTGTGATACATTCCGTTCGGTGCGAGTTTGTACATGTAATTCGGTGCCTTCTTCGCTATTGTCGGATTCTGACTCTAATTCGCCGGATATTAAAAACGCGGGTTTTAACCGATCTATTGATACTTTAACATTTTTGTCATTAATACGAATTGTGAAATTTTTCTCACCACGCTCAATCACTTCGTATGGACCGTCATATGGAGGTTGTAATAAACTTTTAACTGCTTCATAACGCAAGAAAACATACGGTGATTCTGCTAATTCTTTAAATATAAATGTCGTTTTATTATTATGACACGAAGCTGGGCGGGGTTTTATATCTTTTATCCGGTCTTTTAATCGCTTAACGAAACTAGAATTCGCCTCCTGATTTGTCGGTACGAAAAAATCTGCTGGCAAACGAATTTTAGTTCCGTACAACATTTCCGCAGCTGTTGCCTTTAAATCTTCTTTCATTGTAGCGCGAATGCCTAATAGAACAATGGGCAAGGTTTCAACCCAATTGTCCGTGTCATGGCATTTTATGGCGCCTTTTAACTGACGGTGTAGTCGTTCGACCATACCGTTAGCTTGGGGATGGTAAGCAGTTGTACGTATGTGCTATGATCCTAACAACTTACAGAATTCTTTAAACAATAATGACTCGAACTGACGTCCTTGGTCCGTCGTAACTCACAAAGGAACCCCAAAACGAGAAACCCATATAGAAATAAATGCTGAGGCAACAGTTGATGCTTCCATGTCGGCGATGGGAACGGCTTCTGGCCATCGGGAAAACCGATCTACGCAGGTCAAAAGAAAACCGATCTACGCTGGTCAGACAATATTTATACCCCTGCGAATAAGGCATTGTTATGATGTCTAGATGGACATGTTCGAAACGACCGGCTAAGTTCCCGAATGAACCGTTGGGTACGGACACGTGTCTTGTTATTTTACATTTTTGGCACTGTAAACACTGCTGTGCCAAAGTCCTGCAATCTTTATTGATGGATGGCCAGACAAAACGGTCGACGACTAATTTTTGGGATGCGCGTATACCTGGGTGTGAAAGGTTGTGTACAGAATTGAAAACACTTCGCCTTAAGGGCCTTGGAACGTAGGGTCGCACAACGTTACTTTCTATATCGCAATAAATTTTCGCGTCTTGATCCGGAAAACGGATTTTCTTTCATTTTAACGCTGTTTGTGATTCTAAAAGACCTCGAAGCTCACTATCCATATTCTGTGCAGCTTCAAGAGTCTTGTGACTTACAGCTTCCGAAATAGTATCGACGCGGGACAATGCATCGGCAACCTCGTTTTCTAAACCTTTAATATATTTAATGTTTGTTGTAAATTGGCTGATATAATCTAAGTATCGAAACTGTCTAGGTGAACATTTATCTAGGTTTTGTGAAAAAGCAAAAGTTAATGGTTTATGGTCACTGAATATTACAAAATCTCTACCCTCCACAGCATATATAAATCTTTTCACTGCCGCATAAATAGCGAGCAGCTCGCGATCATATGCGCTATACTTCTGCTGTGCAGAGGATAGAGTCTTGGTGAAAAAGCCAAGTGGTTGCCAAAAATTATCAATGTACTGCTGTAAGACTGCCCCTATCGCAAAATTCGACGCATCGACAGCTAAACTAAGCGCGGCGCCAGGAACGGGGTGAGCTAATATAGTCGCGTCGGCCAAAGCACGCTTCGATTCTTTAAATGCTAGTTCCGACTCCTCTGTCCAAGGAATTAACGCATTTCCCTTGTTTCTCTTTTTTGACCCTTTCAATAATGTATTTAATGGACTTAAAATCCTAGCAGCCCCAGGTACAAACCGACGGTAAAAATTTATCATCCCTAAGTACTTGCGGAGCTGTTTTACCGTTTCGGGTTTCGTAAAATTTACAATAGCGTCCACGCGTTCAGCTAAAGGATTTATTCCGGCCGATGTAACAGAATACCCGAGGAAAGATATTTCCTTCACGCCGAAAACACATTTCGCGGGATTGATTACGACGCCGAATTTACTAAATCGTTTGAACAAGATATCTAAATGTTCGTAATGCTGCTTCTCGTCTTCAGAGGCTATTAAAAAATCGTCTATGTACGCGAAAACAAAATCTAAACCGCGGGTTATCTCATCGACGAACCTCTGGCACGTTTGTGCAGCATTCCGAAGACCAAACATCATGTTTTCAGCCTCGAATAACCATGTTTTCAGCCACGAATAACCCGAAAGGGGTAGTAATGGCTGTTTTCTCAATATCGCCGGGTGCTACGGGTATTTGGTGATACGCTCTCACCAAATCTATTTTTGAGAATACCTTTTTCCCGTACAAATGATGGCCGACTTAGAAAATACCTTCTTCCCGTACAAATGATAGTCAAAATCTTCAATATGCGGGGGTGAATACCTGTCTGGTACCGTACGCGCGTTCAACGCACGGTAGTCGCCACACGGTCGAAGGCTACCGTCCTTTTTGGGGACCACGTGAAGGGGTGAAGCCCAGGGACTCTTCGACGGCCGGATTACTCCTTGTTGCAGCATCAGGTCGAACTTGTTGAAGCATCAGGTCGAACTCCTTTTTGACCTGCTTCAATCTGTCCGGCGGCAGGCGGCGAGTTTTACTGTAGACAGGTGGTCCTGGCGTCGTCTCGATGTGGTGCTGCACGCTATGTTTTACGGTTTTCCTTCCAAATACTGGTGGTCGAGTCAGATCAGCATATTTAAGCAGGAGTTGATGATATGCTGAATCTCCCACTATCGTTTTCACGGATGTCATATCCGCAGCGGCTTCGTACCCGGTCACTGACAAATTCGTCATTGGGTCGACGAGTCGCTTGTTCCGCGGATCCACCAGCAAACCGTAGTCTGATAAAAAATCCATTCCCACAATGGGCGTGCTTACATCGGCGACGATGAAACGCCATTTAAAACTCCGCCGCAATTTGAAATTTAGGTCCAGCGCAATTGTGCCATACGTTGCAATCCGTGTACCATTCGCTGCGAACAATTCGTACTCGAAATCCGTGTACCAGTAGCTGCGAACAATTCGTACTCGCACTTTTTCGCTGATACACGCAGGCGACTTTGGGGAAAAACGCAGACATCGGCGCCTGTATCCACCAAGAAATCGGTCTTTGTCACCTTATCGGTAACAAAAATGCGACGGGTCGCTGGACCGTCGTAGTGTGCCGCATTCACCAACGGCTCGCCTCGTTTCCCGACGGTGGTACCCAGGAACATAGAGCTTGGCATCTCGTGGACCGCGTCTTAAATTGCCAGTGATACCTGCATAATCCACGCCTGCTGGCACTTCCATCACGGCTACGGCTTCACTTCCGCTGCGTCTTCTCTGTGGTTTGCGAGGACGTCCTTGTCTTTGCGTCACCTCGCTCAATTGCAAACGCAGCTTCTGAATTTCTTCCCAAAGCTCCATCACCTCGTTATCACGAGATACCGACGCGAGATGTCCACGTTCCGGACGAATCTCGTGGATCCTGTCCGCCATTTCCGTGAGCGCTGTGATATTCGTCTCCGTCGCGGCTGCAAGCACACGTTGAGTGTTCGTGGGCAACCGATTTTTCCACAGTGTCACAATAAAATCATCCGGCACTGACGAAGTCCCGAGCTTTTTTAAATCGCGGAAGAACTGCGACGGTGTGCGATCACCGATTTCCTCGCCTTCGAGTAATTTCCGCACACGAGTACTGTCCGATTCGGTTAACCGTTTCATTAGTTCTTTCTTTAAGAGTTCATATTGTCCTGACTCTGGCGAATCGACAGCAATATCCTCGACCTGTTCAATATACTTTTCACCCAAATTCGCGATGGTGATATTAAATTTGGTTTCGTCCTTTGTGATGCGCGCGGATGTGAAGTGAGCCTTTAACAATTTAAACCACAATGCGACCTTCAACGGCCAAAACTGTGGGATACGCAAATTTTGCGACACAACACTCACTTCGTCACTTGAACTCGCGCCCGCATCACCTAATCGAGGATTCGCACCTTCATTAGCCATTGTCACTATTTAGTGTCTACACTTGATAAATAAAAAAAACTAATAACACGAAAAAAAGTATTTATAATTCACTCACGACGCCTCTTTTTCCGAAAATCACGTCGGCAGGTCACCAATTTGAGGTGATGTACGTGAATGAATAAAATCGTGTGATGACTTTTATTTATACAGAAGGCGCGATGCGTTTACTACGGAGATCGAGATTCGAATGTCTCACGAAAAATCTATTTTCGCCTGGGAGAGAAAACTCTCCTTTTTTTTTGGGAAGTCCCGAGCAGAAAGGGCCGAGGGCCTCTTAGACCCGTCGAACCAGCGCAAAACTATTTACAACTTAATGACTCTATTGACTCGACGGGTCAAAAGGTCTCTGACAAAATCCAGACCTCGCTTTCCACTCGGAACTTTCCCTGTCGCCACACAATTCTCTACACTTTTTTTGTCATTATATAAATTTGAATATATTCTAAAATAATGTTATGAAAAATTTTTTTGTTATAAATAAATTGTATTTTGCAAAATTCGTTAACATCCTATTATTGTACGCAAAAAACCATACAACTTTCCTATTGGAAGTTTTAATGTATCTCGTATGGTTTTCGAGATAGCCAAAAGGGGTCGGTTTACCCCTTAAACCCGCGTCTCAGCCGATAAAAAAAAATATGTGTCCCTTATTTTTGCCTGCTTAACAAACCTACGAAGTTTCATCAAAATCGGAGGGGGACACTTCCGTGCCTTTCCTTGTGAGAATCGCAAATATTCTGATTCTAATACTAATTCTTTTATTGCATATTATTTAATAACAAAAATACATAAATGAGGGATCGGTTGTTCGGGAGTCGCGAGGTGCGATCGGGCGAGCGGGCGACTCGGAGATTTGGCGCTACGAGAATTTGGCACTACAAGGATTTGGCGCGAAAAATAGCGGGAGGACAAAGGGTCGGACGGTTTTTGTTTTTCACGCGGGAATTGGGGGAGATCGAGGAAAACGGCGTGGTGTCGGACGGCAGTCATGTCGTAACGGTCGAAGGTAGCACGTTATCCTAAAAGTTGTCGCGTAAATTCTGTAATTACTTTCTGTACTTTGATTGTTTGAGTTATTAACATTTGTTCTTTGTTATCGTTAATCCCACCACTTTCATTATCCGTCAACCGCGATTTATTCGATCCCACATTAATGTACCTGCTAGAAATATACTTTGTTTTTTTTTTTATTAATACTATATAATTTAATTCGTTAAGTCATAATTTTAATAATTGTAATGTCTACAAGTTAGAGAGTATTTCAAATTTTTTAATAAAATATTAATTAATCAAGAAAATATACGAAAATGATAACTAAAAATATAGTTTGACTTATAAGAAATTAATATTTTGTAATCCTAATAGTTAAACAATAATTTTGTATTGTTTTATTTCGATATGTTCATGCAGGATTTGTAATCCTTTTCCATTTAAAACCCACATCATCGGTCAGGGATTTTACTACTAACTATTGTTTATTGCGCGGTCGGTAATTTTGTGATCACGGTCAATAATTCTATGACAAAGTACAAAAGGAGAGTTTCTCATTTATTGACATCGAAATTCTTCCATGTCGCCGTTTCTAGATCATTACAATTTTAAACATTATCCTTCAGATTGTTTTTTTTAGTAACAAATTTCTGTTTCCCATAACCACATATGCCATTTATTTAAGGCAAAGTGAACAATGAAATATATTCATATTTAATAAAAAACAAATAATAAATATGCAGAATGGATTACTAAAGATGAATTAATTTTTTACAAAGATTGTGAAGCAGAAATTATTAAAATTTATTGTATAACAGAGCACATATCTATTTTGCAATAGCTTGCACGCTTTTAAAACATAAGTATCATACTTACATGAGCATTTTACAGGAATGTGAGTCAAATAGATCCGTCACAATAGACTAGAACAATTTTTCGCAAAAAATTTACAGTCATACGATTATTTCAATGATCACCAAACTGATTGATTAAAGCAATTATAAACAAAGTTAATTTTATTTATTGTCATATTAAATTAATTAGTGTTTATATCCTATATATACATATGTATATATTAAATGTACGCTCATCTATTTGAGTAAATTCCGTAAATGCGGATAGTCCGTTCGGATAGCAAGCCGGTATATCAATGAAATTTTAAGTCCGCATGTCTTACCTATTCGTCAATACACTTGAAACCGATTTAGGTTAATCCAAGACAATGCTCGACCACATACAGCGAACGTTTCAAAACGGTTCCTGTCGCAACATCGAATTAATACGCTACCAGATCCAGCAATGAGCCCAGATCTCAATCCAATTGAACACGTTTGGGATATGATGGGGTGTCGATTGCGAACGGACTATTCGTATTTACGGAATTTACGTGCGCTGAAAAATGCACTTCTTCGAATTTGGAACCAAATTCTCCAAGTCATGATACGGCCATGCATTAATATGCGCGAACGTTTGCAAGATGTAATTAACAACCGTGGTGGTAATACTCGATATTAAATTTACAAGTCCTCGAATTTTTATTGAAAAAACAAAATTACACTCACCCGCGCAGACATTGCTGCAGGCGCACATACCTGCGCGCTCCCACGTTCATGTACCTGCATATACACGGCACACATACGCACGAACTCACACACACAAGAGGAAGCGTAAATCCGACCTTCTCAGACCAAAGCATTCTTTAAAAATTCAGCAAAAGTACCGGTAAATGCAGAGACACAAACTTTTTTAACGAACAAACGGATTAGTCACAGATAGGAGCAATAATGACGTTTCCTTAACACTTTTCGTTCAAATTTTAAAGTTTGATACATCTTTTCATAGGGAACAAAGAATCGGAGCCATTTGAAACTTCGCAAACATTTTGTGGGCAATATGAGCTTAAAAAGAAGACCTAGGCAGAATCATTACAATACTTATTTGGAATTTTTCCAAACATGGAAAACTTACATGGAAATTTTTCCATGTCTTTACAAGCCTTAAAAGAAAGAAAAAAAATACAAAAATTTTTTCATCGCGATTTTTTGTATATTTTGTTAATGATAATGGGCTCGAAAAATTTTTGGGATAAAGGGTCAAAAACTAGAGACCTGAAGCTTCAAAATGACTATTCTGGATGTCTTCTGTGATGAATTTCAACGGAGGCAGAGCAATTTGAAAATGATCTAAAAATTTTAGGAATTTTTCTGTTCCCTTAATTTTTTTGACTAGTGTATAACAACTTGGTAAATTCAAACTTTTCTTGGAGAAATTAAACACAGCACACATGTGCTATCATTTTAACTGGGAGTGACATGCGTGAATATTCAACAATTCCTATTTTACTTTTGCACTTTTCAAGGGAAACCGGATATTAGTGGGACAATAGTGACCACAGTGAACACGTACGGTATCTTGCTTAATTTTCCAGAATCTTTAAGATCTTTTTCAATCCTGGCGAAGCAGAAGCAAGGATCAAAACAAAGAACGATTAGGATCGTTTAGTGTTACTGCGATAATCTTACGTGCGTTCGAACACCGATTTAATGGACTTGTTTTATTGTCCAGTTTTGGTCAACAAGCAATTTCGTGCTGGCAGGTAGACGAAGGCAATCCTATTTCAAGTTGTTACGAGGCCCTTGAACATCGTGACTACATCTTAAGTAGGAATAAATTTAGCCTGTCTTCGTAACCCTTCCTTCGTTTCTTGCCTTTATTCCAGATGAAAAGGGGAACCTCCTCGTAAAACACATTAATGTGTTTAGTGGGTCAGGAAAATGTTCTCCAAAACACGTATCGTTATAAAAATCAGGTCTAACAAATAAAGATTTCAAAACGGAGTGAAAAGAACTACCTGAGGCCTCTTTTGAGATCAACTCGAACTGTGATCTAAATGGATCCGAAATAAATATCTTAATTACTAACTCATTTGCATCACACAGAAAAGTGAAAAATTCGTTCTATTCACCAACAATTTTTTTGATTGTATTTAAATGAAAATGTTTTTAAATGTTAAAAATAAAAGCAATATTACATAAATAAAGAATTTTTACTTCATTATAGATTCATAATTATGAGAGGAATAAAATCTAATTATTTTGCACAACATGATAATGTTTGAAATGGTCAAGGCATAATGCCACATGGCAGTTATCACATTGATAAAATGTATCTTTTCTGTCGGAAACATAACTATCCATTTTTTTTTTTATTTTTCTAAGTTATTTTACCCTGAAACTATTCGCGATCACTTCTTTTCATTGATTGAGAGCCAAATACGCATGGGTATAATATACACTCTGGTGATAAATGCCCAAGTGCAATGAGCGCATATATGCGCGCTCTGGTGATAGTGGCCAGGCAAAATGCGCGCATATATGCGCTTATGATGCAAATGGGCTAAACGATGAATTAAGATATCAGTAAACTCGTAAGAATTAGTTGATTAATTCAAGTTTAAACTCTTTGTACGCATTTCAAGAAATTTCGATTGTTTCATAGCGGAAATGATACTAATAAGGTATCAGATAAAAGATTAATATACGTTATTAATTTTAAAGTCTTTATCGTAAATTTTAGGCAATGTGTTTAAGTTCTTTATTGCTTTCTAATTTTAGAATATGTGCGAATGAACATAATTCGTCACTTTTGTTTGTACAATAGATAAAAGATACTTCAAAGAAGCAAAAAGTTGTTTTCATAATTGCTCATAATTCAACGTTTACTAGTTTAATCAGTTGTGATTTACATTAATATTTTATTCATATATCACGTCAGAATTAAATGTTTATTACTATTGCTATTAACCCTTTCACTTCGAGCGCTGCTTATAAGCGGCGCGCACAATATGACCTGTGGATACGAGCGCCGCTTATAAGCGGCGCGCACAATATGACCTGTGGATACGAGCGCCGCTTATAAGCGGCGCGCACAATATGACCTGTGGATACGAGCGCCGCTTATAAGCGGCGCGCACAATATGACCTGTGGAT